AGGCAACACTGATCAGAGTGGGGACGAGGTGCGCAGAATGTGACCCCACAATCAATACTCTGGCCATCGGGACATGCGCAGAGCGGAGAGAAATGTAAAAGCCCTCTTGTCTCAGCTCCCCACTGTCACCAAGTGACCTGTTGCCATCTGTCCAGGGCCGTGTCTCCACGCTTTTGTGCCTTTTGTGGGTGACCTTGCAGCTCAAATGTCCCCAAGAATCAGTCGAAGGGCTGCCTGGGCCCCCCAAGTGCAAGAAGGCCGTGATGTGCCAGCGGGAGAACGTCCGCGTGCTGGACAGGCTGCGCTGGGACCTGAGTTCAACGTCCATGTGTCCACCACCGGCTACATCCCCAAGGAGGGGGATGTCCGCTGCTCCATCAGCGAGGCCGCCCCGAAAGTGCCAAGCTGACCGCCGTCGTGCACCCCCCAGCCATGGAAAACACAGAGAGCGGGCTCAGTCTGTGGGTCCACGAGCTGGCCATCCGCAGGAAGAGCGTCGTCGTGAGGGAGGCTGAAGGCCAAGGATATTCAGGGCGATGTCAAGCCCTTCTTGGCCAGCGTGGGCTGGCTGCCCGCTTCAAAAGGCGCTCGGCTTGAAGCCTGTGGGACTTGCAGACAAGACGGGCTCTGCCGATCAGGATGCTGCAGGGGAATTTAAAAAATTACCTGTTCCATGTCATCCAGGAAAAGCGTTATGTGGCAGAGCAGGTTTCCAACACTGACGAAACCGGCTTGTTTTACGAGGACATTAGCCAATGAACCCGCATAATGCACGTGGCTGCCGGGGCCCCTGGCTTTAAATCAGTCCAAGGTCCATGCAGCGTTGCTGTTGTGTGCCAATGCCAAGGGCGACTTCAGTGCAAACCCCAGTGGTGTATGGAGCCCCAAATCCACGAGCCTGAGAAGAACCTGAGTCGGACGCCAATCCCTGGAGGTGGAGCAGAGAAGCATGGAACGTATCTGGGACTGGCTGCCCAACCGCTTCCCAACCACAGTGGGGCGCTAGCTCCAGGACAAAAGCCTTGCCTCCGAGGTGTTCTTAGTTCTGGACGACGCCTCAGTTCATTGCCATGAAGAGCTCGAAACTGCTCACCCCAACGTAGAGGTTCTCTTTGTGCCCCCAAACACGCCGTCTCTCGTCCAAACCTGGGATCAGGGCACATCCCGTGTTTTCAAGGCTCACTGCCGCAAGGCGTGCCAGGCTGTCCGCCAACAAGGAGACCAGCGTGACAGAGCACTGGAAGCCGGTCACATCCGCAGCGTTATTGACTGTATTGGCACAGCCTGAGCCAGGACCACACAGGTGACTTATCGATGGCTGCTGGGGAATGTGTGGCCAGACTGCATGAGAAAGTGTGAAGTGAAGACAGGATGGATGTCGGGAGGCCAGTCAGGAGACTGGTGCCAGGAGAGGTGGTGGCAGCCTGGCCTGTGGTGGTGAGGGCAGGGGACAGTGGCTGGGTTCTAGAGATGTTCTCAAGGCCGACCAACACTGACGGAGGGAAGACAGGGCCACGGTGACTGCATGGTCCCCACACAGGAAGGACACCCGCAGGCCGGGGGGAGATGGTGAGGCCTGGAGCAGGCTTAGGCCTGTTTGATGCCTGTCACACACGGAGGCAGGGGTGGCAGTGGGTTGTCAGAGCCTCGACTCCAGGGGACAGGTCTGAGACCGGTGGTCATGAGGCTGGCACGGTCGCTTAGGTCAGGGTGCACAGATGGGGAGCACAGCCGACAGCCCAGTGCTCAGCCGCGTGTACAATCTCCAGAAAAGTTGTCTCTCCTGACCTGCGGGCCTCCCCCGCTTCGTGGCCATCCCCCAGAGACCCTGCCTGGACTCTCCGACCTCCTCCTGTGCCCCCTCCCCCCACCCCGCCACAGGGTAGCCTGCTGTCAGGACAAGCTGCAAGGCCTGGGACGGGCCAAACAGCACGCTGGCTATCCCGTCCAGTGTGCCCTCCCGGGCTTTCTCGGCCCTGTGTCGCTACTGAGCTAGTTTATAACTCTGGATGTTGTAAGCCACTGGTAAGGCGAGAGACTTGTCACAGAAGTGCGAAAATTGTGTCCAGTTTCAGAATGCAGTCGATCCCCACCCTGTGGATTTGTATCTGTCTGCAAACTCAGCACTCCCGCTTGCCTGGAGGCCCGGTGGTCACAGCGTACAGGTTCCGGCCTCGTGCCAAGTACCATCTCCAGCAGGTGGTCATTCTGTATTTGTATGAAGGCCACGTTACCTTCTTTGAAAATGCACCTTTTCAAGGTGTTTCTGCCTCATTGCTCTGTTCTTGACCCCGCCCCTCACGGCAGGCTGGTCCTCGGGGCTCGGGGCCTCCTCCTCGGGGGCCCAGGGCTGGGTGGACACACCGTTCTCTCCTCCGGGCAGCCGAGCCTGCTCTGCCTCCACCCTGACTCGCTTTCCCCCTTGGCGTGGCAACAGAATGAGCCCTGCCCATTACTCAAGAGCCCAGCCTGTCATTAAGGCCACCCTCTGAGGGACTCTGACCCGAGGAGGCTGCACCACACCCTGACACTTACCCCAGCAGGCCCTGGAGTGCTGTCTCCATTGGCTAATGGACAGAACGTGCCAGAATGTGCCCGGCGAGCTCACTGTTCACACATTCTTGCAGACAGAAGTCCCTGAAGGGGTTAAACCAGCAGGAGGGGGCAGGGGGCCCCCCTCTCCTCACATGCTTTCCCGGGGAACCTGAGAGCACGAGCTCTGAGCTTCAGACGCGGGCTCACCTGGGCACCTGGCAAGAGGTTTATCAACTTAAACAAGCCAACCAGACTGACGATGCCAAGCTTACGGAGACACAGCAGCACCTGGCGAGTGCGCAAGGGAAGACGGGACCCTCAGCCTGACGGGCCTCCGGTTCACAGGAGGAACGGGACAGAGGAGGGGTGAAGGGGCTAAAACCAAACAAACCAAACCGCTGCCGTCAAGCTGATTCCAACTCATAGCGACCCCATAGGACAGAGTAGAACTGCCCCATAGGGTTTCCAAGGAGCACCTGGTGGATTCGAACTGTCAACCCTTCAGTTAGCAAGCCAAATGCTTAACCACTGCACCAGCAGGGCTCCAAGAAGGGCAAATAGCCTACAGTTAGTGAAATCGGGAGTAGGGCAGGTCTACAGGAAAAATGACCCGTTTCAGGCGTAAACGGTGAGGAAAACACGGACAGCCTGCAGTTAACCCAGGCTGGAGATGAGTCAGCCAGATGCACGTGTGGGATTCGTCTGGTTCCTGAGTCCAAATAGCCAACTATCTGTGTTACCTGTAGCTGTGTACACACACGTGTGCATATGCATACATGTCTCCACACACATGCACACACAGGTACATATCGTTAAAGATATTAACAAGACAGCTGGAAAATCGGAACACTGACTGGGTATTTGATGAAAATTACTGTTTTAGGTGCGAAAATGGCACCACGGCTGCTTTTGGAGAACGTTCTTTGAGAGACACTCATGTTCTCTGCTCACCTGATAAACGCCTGGATCTGTGCCAAAGCCATCAGGCCAGCAGATGAGACAGGTGCACGTTCATGAGGCTGGGCAACAGCGACACGAGGCAGCTCCCTACTTTTACGACAATAAAAAGCTGGCTTTCCCATGAACACAAGGTGATTATTAGAACCACACTAGACAGTCATCCAGGTGTTAACGGCAGCAGGAATTTGGGTGATCTGCCATCTTCACCTGCTTGTTTAGCGCTAACAATCAGCACAAATACAGAACCTTTGTAAGAAAAAGTTATTTTAAAAACCCAAGAACTTTCAACCAGAGCACCTGGTGGGGCTCATGGGGCTGCTGCAGAAGTGAGCAAAAGGAGGCTCTGTCAGCCCTCTTCCACACCCCCCTAAAAGACACTGGCCAGCCCGTAAGAAAGTTATGGGACAAAGTTACAAGACATGAAAATCTTTATTTTCAAAAAGAATGCATTTTTACATAAATCTACAACAGCGAATTCAAACATAGAAAAAATAAAACTATACCCAGGCCCCAGTGCTCAGCCCAGCGGGCTCCTTGCTCCCTGAGGGCCCCAGCACCAGGACAAACAGGAATCAATGAACCTTGACACCTTGGGGGAATCCAAGAGAAAAGCAACAGACAAGTGGAATTGTAGCATTTTCTACCCAAACAGGCTGCAAACACAGGATCCCAGGCCCCGAGTCACCAAGATGAAAACCCACCTTGCTTGTTTCTGAGAACAGAAAACCCATTTGTACATCTACTTTGTGTGTGTGTTGGGGGGCGGGGGTTGGAAACTTATTTCCAGATGCCTTCTAGAACTGGTTTTCTCACCCTGCCCGAAAGCTACGTTCAAAGGACCAGGAAGTCAGCAGAGGGGCGGACCACCGCATCACCAGCTAGGCCCCGACTTGCCATCAGTGACTCGCCATCCCCTGGCCCCAAAAACCTCAGGCCCTACAGGGTTTTACCCCATGGCACTGTCCACACCCGCACCCCACGGGCCCAAAGCTGGGGGTCCCTGGGACCAGCCTTCATGATGGCAGAGCCGACTGGGCCTTGACTCCATACCATGGAGTCTGCAAACCCAGAGCCCAGCGTGGTGTCCACACCCGTCAGCCTGAAGCTCTGATGGGCAGCGGACCGGGCCAGGTGAGCAGCCTCCTGTCACTGCAGCAAGGCTGCCCTGCAGAGTCTCAGTTGTGGCACACGGGAAGAAACCCAGGTTCCCCTTGCTCCACGGAAGACTCCCCAACAACCAAACTCCACACTGCAGCTGCAGTGCGACCCCCTGTCACAGACCCAACCAGCAAGATGAGAGAAGCCAAGTGGTGACGCAGCTCTAGGGTCCAGAGGTGCAGGGCAGGGGGACCAGGCTGCCCACATACACCCCAATGCTGCAAAAGCAGCCCCGGGCATCACCTGCCTGCCTCCGCCTGTGCACCCCCAACCCCGTGCGCCCCCAACCCCACAAGTCCAACCGGAGGCCAGGCCTGGAATTAGTCACGCACAGGCTGGAATCCCCCATAAACTACAATCTCAGCCAAGACCAGCACCTTTATCACGCCAACAGGATCACTGCAGGAACATTTCCAAACCAGGACTTCTCAGGCCTCCTCCTGCCTGGAGCTGCCGTCCCTCCCCAGCACTGCCCACGCCACCAGTCTGTCCTTCCGCTCGGACCTGGACAGTCACGGGGGCGGAGGCTGCTCCTTCCCTGGCATCTGACTTTGGGGGAAGAACCTTCTTAGCTTCCTGCCAATCGTGGGACTTCACGAACAGTGAGCTGGAGACGAGCTTCCATGGGTCTCAGCTGGCACAGGCACGCACGAGGCCCCACCTCCCGTCGTGGCTTGTGGCGCTGCGCGACCGCTGAGGAGACACGGGGACAGTGGGGTGCCAAGACCAGGCTGTGAGCAACGTGAACCGCCAACATCCGGAACACAAAACGTTTTTCACATGAAAATAACTTTACAACGTCCTGTGTTTTCCAGAAAGACGTCAAAATACACTGGGAACCACTACAAGCAGAAACCAACAAACGGTGAAGAGCCCGGCGTCCGTGCTGTTGTGGCGTCTGCCGAACAGACAGCGACGCGGCTCTGAGGAGGCTCAGGGGCGGGAGAGGCCAGGGAAACGGAGCGGGGAGCCGACACACCCCCGGTGTGCCTGTCACAGCGTTTGCACTGGGTAGGAAGATATCAAAAAAGGTACAGAACATTTACTGGAAAAAACAGAACTCGTGATAAATTGAACTTCACCCTTCTGTAATAAAAAATTAAAGACTTCTGTTGACTCTGTTGAAACACAGTGTGACTGGGAACTCTTCCCGACAGCGTTAGAAGAACTGGCGAGAAGTGTCACCAGCAACTTTTAGAACTTTCCGGTGGTGTGAGCGTTCCCCTCAGCAAGGAGGCTCAGACCCGGCCCTTCCAGGCCCCACGCCAAGCCCGGGGAGCCGCTTCTTGAAATCCACGTTTCTGGCCGATCTGGGTCAACTTCCTGATAGTCTCTCGTGTCTCAAAAGGGCTTAACAGTCGCTCTTCCACAGTTTAATTGTTTTGTCATTTTCTAACGCAGCTGAGGCAATGATGTTTTCTGTCGGATGACACGCTGTTGAGATCACAACATCTGAAAACAAAGGGGCAGTCAGGAAGGCTCCCTCCCCCGTGGCTGCAGTCGCCCTCCCTGCGGGGTGGCCCAAGGGGACAGGGCCTTGCCCTGACCACTGACCCACGTGGCCTTTTACTGGGTCTGACGCGTGGAGCCACGGGGGACAGAAAGGACGGGGAAGGGGCCAGTGCACCTCCGCGCAGGATGGGGAGACCCAAGAGCCTCGCCCACCACCACCTCACGGGCGGCGAGCCCAGGGGGAGCACGGGGCCCTGTCCACGGCTCCCAGTAAGTTTCACTGGGGTTTTCAGTTCTTTGTTGATGAGGCACCCTCTTCCACGGATCCCAGAGCGAGTGTACTCCCCACCCCCCAGCACGCCAGGGAGCTGCCTTCGTGCGAGGGCAGCCGCTCCAGCGAGCGTGTACTGGGGCAAGCCCACGTGACACATCTACAGCTAAGTGAACAGAGCCCCAGACCCCCACCTGTCCCTGCGTGCCCACCACGCCCGGGGCGGGTCAGGGAGCAGCGGGGAGGGAGCGTGCTTTCCAGGAGTGGGGAGAGATGTGGTAGACAGTCGGGAAACAGGGACAAAGTGAGTGTGGACCCCAGGAGCCACGTCTCAGTGCGGGGTGCTGCTTTGTTTTTTTAGGACAGTCTAGCACTTTCTAAGACTTTCATCAAATTCTCCAAAGAGTCTACAACCCCTGCTGTCTGCCAATGAGCAGGGCAGTGGACGTGGGTGGCAGAAGCAGCCTTGGAGGGTGGGGGGCTCAAGGGCATCCCAGGCATTCAGGAATCGCCCAAGTAGCACTGCGGCGAGAGCACCATCACGGAGCCCTGGAGCCGCACGAAGCACCAGCCCCTCTGGGAGATAGGAAGAGCCCCCAGGGGGAAGCCAGGCCTCCAGAACCAGGCAGCAGATGCCTTGCTCCCTGGGACAAGGAGGCGGTGGGGGTGGGGGAGAGGGGACAGGGGAGAGGAGAAGCAGCAGAGAAAGAGGCTGCAGAGCACAGGGGTGGGGGGGTGGGACGGGGACAGCTGGGCGTCGGGTGGACGAGAAGGGCCTGAAGCTGGGCATGGTGGCAGAGGGGGGGACTGTGTTCAGCGCCGCCTCCCTGGAGCTTCCAGGGCGGGGTCCCGTCCCCTCCAGCACTGAAGGAAGAGGTGGAAGCAGGGGCACGTGACGGAAGCGCCCACTTCTTCACCACTCTTACCAGAAACACCCCCGGGTGAGCAGCACGCATGCCCGCCCAGTAGGCCTCAGCTAACCTGTGTGGCCTTGTAACTTCTGTACAATCTCTTTCGTCTGGAGGTTCCAGATGTAAACCAGGTTATCTTCGGAGCCAGACACGATCCACTGTTAACAACCAGGAGAGAGGAGGTGAGGCAGCAGCCGGGTGGGGGCAGGGACACGTCCTTTACACCCCCCGCCGCGTGCACACCCCCTTCCTGTAGCTCCTCTGAGGGCATGAGAACACAGAGCTTCCCCTCCTCTCCGGCTAGCGTCTAACACTCCGTCTTCCCCAAGCCAAACTAGCTGCGCAGCCTCCCGGCCACCGTCGGCCTCACCGTGCTCGTAAGGGATGGAGGTCTGCCATGTCACAAAGAGAGGCTGAGGCGTGAAATGTCTTCTTAAATGACCGTTTTCTAAGTTTCTGTACCACCTACATTTCAGCCGAATGCCACCATCTCCTCTTTAATTACTACCCACCCCCGGGACCTGAGGGCCCAGGAAGACCAGGGGGCGAGCGAACGTGTGGATATGGCCGCTCTCCTGCTGCTCGGAGCAGATGACCATGAGGAGCACAGGGGACAACAACGGTCAAAACTCCAAGCCCAGCCCCTGCCGGTGATGGACTCACGGAAACGTACACGGAGCCACGCCCACGGCACCCTGACTTAACAGGAAGGTGGGAGGTGTTCGTTACAACATACGCTGTGCTCTGTGAAAAGGAGCGAGGCGGATCTAGAGGCAGGCCCCGAGGTAGCATGTGGAAGTGTCTCCGACACTCTGGCATCGTTTAACCACGTTTGCTTCGAAGCCAGAAACACGTCTGCTTTGTGGGCAGAGGAAAGCGCCGCTGAGGATGAAAGGCCAGCCCAGCAGAGGGGTTCCTTCGGGACGGAGCGGCGGCGGGCCGAGAACCTTCACAGGGAGGAAACCTACCTTTCCACCAGTAACTGAAAAGTTGGCAAATATGCAGTACTTCTCATTCTTGTGGCCGGTGTAGGTCTTCAGGCACTGAAAGGCAAGGGTGGCGGGCTGTGTGGAGGCATGGAGCCCCTGCACGCTGGCTAATCCCCGCAGTGCTAAGCACAGGCATTTTAGGGCTGATGAAACCCAGCTCTTAATTAAAGTTCTCTAAATGTTCACAAGTGTAGGAACACATGCTCTAGTCAAAGCTTTATCTTGCAAGCTAGCCGATCTGCAAAAAGCCAGGTCTTTCAGAAATCTGCAGCAGAGCAGCTCCGGGAAGACTGCTCCCGGCTCTGAGACCTTCCTGCTGCTGATCCCCCCCGCCCGGCCCAGTCCCACTGCCAGCAAGAGCCCCGACCCAAGAACTTAACCAGCAGACACACAAGCGAGTGCACGGCTGGCGCTGCACCATGTCCCGGGCGCTCACCTTCCCTTTGCTGTAGTCCCAGAGTTTCAGCGTGCTGGAGGGACAGAGAGAGGCGTGAGTCACCTACACAGGGCTCCCAGAGATGCCTCAGCTGTCCCTGCACCCACACTCTGCTGCTGCCCAGCACGGCCCAGCTTAGGCTTTGGGAGCAGAGCCATGAGGTGTCGGCCCCCCGAACAGAGCACACAACAGATACCATGAGCACCAAGTTCACAAAGCCTGGTAACTTGATGACACTCAAAAGCACAATGGGAAAACGCCAGATACCAGTGGCTCAAAGACAGGCTTTCTACAGCTGCTGCTGGCATTCCTTCCCGAAATCAAAGTGGCCGGCCTCGCTTCCACCACCAATGGGTGTAAGGAGCTTAGGGACCACCCAGGTGGATTCCAGCCGACACTCGTCCTCATGTTAGGGGCAGGAATCCACTCCCACGCCAGGCCGAGCAGGCACAGCTCTCGGCAGCGTGGCCCTCAGGCCGGCCCCACGCAGAGACAGCCAGTCTGTGTGCAGGGAAGCAGGGCTTCACCGACTGCCCAGGACGTGTGCTGGGTAACATCAGGGTGCTCCAAGGTCAGAGCGAGAAAGTACCCCAGAGTCACCGCAGCCCACCCAGTCCTCACACAGCAAGACGCTCGACTTGACAGGTGACCCCGGCAGAGGGGTGGCCTTCCTTCAGCCCGCTGTCTACCTTTTAGAAGCCAGAACAGCGGCATCCGAGCCACACCCTCTGTCTACAGAGCCTTCACAGGAGGAGGTTTGCCTCTGGCAGGAGATGGTGTCCCTGAGTGAGGTGGCCGGCCCACCCGCCCCTGCACAGGGAAAAGCACTCACTTGTCCAGCGTCGCAGCCAGGATGTACTTGCCATTCGGAGAAAATTTCACAAAGGACACCGGGGGGTTGTCGTCATCTGAGTGGAGACACAGAGCAGGGCTGACGCTCACGGCGGCCAGGCGGGAGAGACCGTGTGAGCACAGGAACCACCCGGTGCCCCACCTCAGACCCTCACGCAGGTGCCCCCCCTTCGCCGGACACCCAGCACAGTGTGACCGCTGGGCTGGCCTCGCAGGATCCAGGGGGGCATCCTGTAACCTCCCCTCCGAGCTGGTCTTTAGGAACAAAGGGCCTGAGGCGAGTTAAAGCCCCACCAAGGCGGCCCTGGCCTGGGCCACGCCCCAGCTCACCAGGCGCTCTGCAACAGTGAGTTTACAAACACGCGAGTGAACGGGGAACACTGTCACCGCCAAGGAGGCCAAAAAGGCTCGGGTGAACGAGTCTCGGCGGTTCCCCTCTGACATGGTCATCACAGCACAAGTTGTTAAGGTTCTCTCTGAAGCCAACCTTTACGATACCATCCCCACATCTCTAGCTTCAGATGCTCTGGGTCTGAAAGCTGAACCCCAGGCGATCCTGCGGATGCAGGTGAGCACCACCGTGACGGTGAAGTTACCCCGTCACCCTCACTCATCCAGGTGAGAAGAGCTGGCGCCCCAGACCCACCAGCAGAAGTCAGGACCCCCAGCATTGCTCATGCTGGGATCCTCGCGTGGGGGAGCAACCCCTCGCCTGGGTGAGGAGGGCATCCGGCAGGGCGTGCACCCTGTGTGGGAAACGGGGGTTAGTGGGGAACGGGCGGCAGACCAGGCCGTCCCTCCAGCCCTGAGAGCCCCCAGAGGGTCTGCACACCATGTTCCGAGCTCAGAAGGGGAGCGGCACGTGTATTACCACAGCCGGCAGGCCCGGCCTCACTGCCCGGCTCCAGGGGCCTCCGCTCCCTCGGGCCGGCTGCCAGCACTGTGAAAGCATGAGAAGCTCACTGATCCTCCTGCCGGAACCGGTGCCAGGAGGGCAGACGAGGTGAAGCACTGCCCGCACCTCTACCCAAACAGCCAGCAGAGCACTGCCGGGACTGCCTCAGCTGACTCATCTCAGTGGAGCGCAGAAAGCTCCAAAGCACTAGAGTGCATGGAAACCACTGACCATGCGACCCTTGCCTCCCCCAGGCCCTCGTGCTGACCCCTCACGGGGCTCACTGCGCCCTCAGCACAGCAGGTCTGAGCCCGCCCACCCCTGGCTGGGAGACGGGGCATTTCCTTCTCAACCCCATACACCCCCACACAGCAGCGAGCGAGCAGGGCAGCAAAAAAGTGAGTCCAACCAGACCTCAGCCCAGCACGTGCTGCTGTGTGGCCTTGGGCAGCTACCTAACCTCTCTGCACCTGCCCATAGGAGTGGACAGCCCCACACGCCCACAGGGGTGCGGTGAGGATCACAGGGCTAACGTGAGCAGTGCCGAGCAACACCCAGCAGACGCCAGGCGAGCGCTGGCAGCTGCCGTTGCACACCTGTGCAGGCTTCTCAGTACAAATGAGGACACTGCCCCACAGGGCAGAGGTCACTGCACAGACCCCTGTGGGCAAAGACGCCGAGATCACCACAGCAGGGTCCTGCCGTCAGAAACAAGGATGGGGTCAGAAAGATGGCCCACCACAGTCACATCTGCTAGGGAAGGAAGCCAAGTAGACGAGGCTGCAGCACCAGCTCCCTCCTCAGGCAGGTCAATGGCACACAGCCCCCTCCTCAGGCAGGTCAATGGCACACAGCCCTCTCCTCAGGCAGGGAAATGGTACACAGCCCTCTCCTCAGGCAGGGAAATGGTACACAGCCCTCTCCTCAGGCAGGGAAATGGTAC